ATGTTTTTGGTTTAAGATTCAAAGATCTCAGGGCACTGGTTTCTGGAAAGCAGCTTATTCACATTAAAGTCCTTAAAGTGTTCGTGTATTTTTTTTCCCAGAAATTGTACTTTTAGAAATCTATCCTGAAGAAATAACCAGATAGTTTCAAAAACATTAAACAGTTTAAGTGTTCAGAGGAGCACGTCTTGCAGCAGCAGATAATAGAATGACCTAAACCAAACCAAAACCAAAACCAAACCCACTGCCATTGAGTCGATTCTGACTTATAGCGACCCCCACTGGGTTTCCAAGGCTGTAAATCTTTATGAGAGTAGATTGCTTCATCTTTCTCCTGCGGAGCAACTGGTGGGTTTGAACCGCTGACCTTACGGTTAGCAGTCAAATGCCTTAGCCATGACACCGCCGGAGCACCTTAATGAATAGCTAAGTAGAATATTATGTGCCACCAGGATGAACCCTTATTTATGTTTTCAAAGGGCATTTAATGACAGGGAGTATTTTCTGTGTAGAACAGCATTTGTATTACAACAGGACATGACCTGTGCCTTCCAGTGGTGTGAATTGCATAGACACTCCTGTCCCTCTTTGGATGTTCATGTGTGAGGGCAGTTGACTAGGCAGGTGTGGATGGTGGTGACCCAGCAACCAGTCACCTGTGAGTCAACTCTGACTCCAGGTGACCCACGAGTGTTCGAGTAGAACTGTGCTCCACAGGGTTTCCAGGGGCTGATTTTTTCAGAAGGGAATTACCAGGTCTTTCTTCCAAGGCACTCTGGGTGGACCTGTTCAGATGGAGCCGAGCATGGCTCTGCCTAGGGACTCCTTGTTGACAGTGAGAGGACAGTTTCCGTGCACTTTTCCAGTGTCCCCCATTTCCCATCATGTGAACGTGTATGTGGTCATGCCAGCGGGGCCATGCTGCAGCCGTTAGACAGCTCAGTGGCTGGTGGCAGCCACGTGGTGGTACAGATGAGCGCATCTCTGTAGCCCACGCCGCAGAGGGTCGTTCCTTGCTTGCAGTGCATGGCCGAGGCTGGCTTTGGCTCTGCTCTGGCCCTCATCTGGGCCCAGGTTGCAGGCAGTGTTGTTGGGACAACACCTGCCACCTGCAGGAGAAGCAAGAAGGAGGCACAGAGGGCGGGGAAGCAGGGCCTCCGCTGACCTTTGCCATGCTCAGCCGAGCTCTGTCAGTCTCCCCATGGGGAGGGATAAGGTGTCAGCCCAGACAGAAAGGGCCTCCCACGGGGCATCGCTTTTGTAATCTGATACATGTGCATGTTGTTAAAAAAAAATCTAGAATTTCAAGGTTCCTGCTGGAAGAAGCAGGTTAGTGGGGAGAGGCAGGAAGTAGGAGGGCTTGGCAAGTCTGCATAAGGAGCTCTGATGTTGGTATGGTTAAGGCATTTGGCTGCTAACCAGAAGGTTGGCAGTTGAAACCCCACAGCTGCTCCTCAGAAGAACGATGAAGCAGTCTGCTTCTATAGAGTTTAACAGCCTTGGAAACCCAATAGGGCTTGCTGTCAGATGGAATTGGCTCAATGGCAGTGAGCTTGTTTATTTTTTTGACAAGCTTGTGTAGGTGCCTGATGCCAGGGGGACCTTCCTCAGGCTGGATGCCCATGGGGTGCACCTCACGCTAGCAGGTGGTCCCGTGCCCACCCCGGGTGAGGGAGGACAGTCATGCTCAGTCCTCGTTACACAGGCGTGTGCAAGGAGGCACCTCCCTTGGGACTGAAGCTGCCCCTGCACTGATTTCAACCCCGGGCAGCTGTGGGAGATGCCCGATTCGAACCCTGGGAGGCTCTGGGAGATGTTGGGGGTGTGGGTGCTGCTGGGTTGCCCATGCGGGGGGCTTTCTGAGCCCCATCTAGAGACAGCGGCCTCGTTCCTCTGCACCTGTGGGCTCAGATGCACATGGCTTCTCTAAGAAATGTTGCTGAGTCCCAAGTCAGACATGTGTCAGCTCGTGAGGGCTCTGCTGGTTTTGTGTGATTCATGTTGTTGGCTTGGTGGTGTGCTGGTTATCCTGGGTCCTTACTTGTTTGCCACTGATTAGTGATGCGGAAACCCCCCCAGGGCTTAAATGAAGACAGTGTGGTTAGAGAAGGCACGTGTGAGGGTTTATGAGTGTGACGTATACACGAGTGCATGAGTGTGCACAAGGGCTTGGCATGCCCAGCACTCCAGGTTGTGACTGGAAGTGCTTACTGCGACACAGATAAGTGTGGAGTGTGTACCTGCTGTGACCAGGACATGGGTGGGAGGCAGACAGGAAGGATGGGATGGGGAGGGCTCTCCTGAGCTGAACTTTGACTCAAAGGTGGCGATCTGGCTGTGGGTGGACACACATGTTAAGAAGCTGTGACAACATGGACGTGTGCTCAGTAATGTGAAGTAGACACGCAGTCAGCATTGTGAGGTGGACATGGGTGTGGAGTATTAGGTGGACACGCAATTGGCACTGTGAGGTGGGTGTGGGTGTGGAGTGTTAGGTGGACATGTAGTCGGCACCGTGAGGTGGACATATGTCTGGTGCTGTGTGGTGGATGTGCAGTTGGAACATGAGAAAGACACATTGGGAATTGTGAGGTGGACACATGTTGGTGCCATGAAGTGATGTGTGCTTCGTGCTGAGGTGGTCATGTTTGACGGGGTCCTCCCCCTTGCCTGTGTGTCTGCAGTTATGCCCAGACCTCAATCAAAGCGAGTCTCGTCTTCAACCATGGCTTCAAGGCAGGAAGAAACATGCGTCGCAAGCTCTTTGCAGTCTTGCGGCTAAAGTGTCATGCTGTGTTTCTGGACTTGCAGGTGAGCATGCTTGCAGCAGGGGGGGTTGTCAGCAGCAGGTGGGGTGTCAGCAGCAGGGAGTAGGCTGGCAGCAGGTGGGCGTGCCAACAGCAGGTGCTAAGTGAGCAGGGGGCATTCCGGCAGCAGGGAGCACCCAGGGAGCAGGTAGGTGTGACGGCACCAAGGGCTAAGTGAGTAGGGAGCATGCCAGCACCAGGGAGCATGCCATTAGCAGGTAGTTGTGACCAGCAGGTGGGACGCTGGTAGCAGGGGCTAAGTGAGCAGGGAGCATGCCGGCAGCAGGTAGGGGTGATGGCAGTAGGTGGGCGCGCCAGCACTAGGGGGCAGAGTCCACAGCCAAGCGATCCTGCTGGCCAGGAAGTCTGCATTGTGACAGCTGCCTGACCTACAGTCCATGCTCCTAATTGTGTGTGTGTGAGAACATGAACATGTTAAGTATGTGTGCATGCACGTATGTGTGTGGCTGGGTGTGAGCATGCGTGTGCCTGTGTGCATGGGTATCTGTACATGTTCAAATGTGCATGTGCATGTGTGCACACAGTATGTGTGAGTACTTATGTGTGCACATCTGATGCACATGTGTGAGCCTGTCTGTGTGACTGCATAACATATGTGGTCACACATGTGAGCATGTGTGTGTGTGTGTGTGTGTGTGTGTCCCCTTTAACTTAGTTGCTGAAGCCCCTCTGCAGGTGCCTGGGTGTCTCTCCCTAAAGAGTGTGGAGGGGCAGCGGCACTTGGTGGGCTCAGGGCTCCAGGCATGGACACGTAGTGGTGAGGGCAGCTGTGGGGTGGGCATGTGTGTGCCAGCTTCCTCCTGCCTGAGCTCTTGTCCTCAGCCCCCAAAAGCCTAGCAGAATACATTGTAGGTCAGACACTGTCCCGCATGTGGGTGAGCAGGCCATCCCATACAGCCAGGCTGGACTCTTCTGGAGAAAGGGGCTGGGCTGGGCTCCCCTGGAGGAACAGCCAGTTTCCCATCAAAACGTCCCTTTCTGTTCGACTGACTGGTTGATAAAGGAAGAGATTCCAGGGACGTTTTGACTGTGTTCTCTCTCCCTCTCTAACTTCAGGTGAACAGTCTTCAGACAGTTTATATCAACGTTTACAAGATCTTTCTCCTGCAGGCCTACAGGTTGGTCACTGGCCACGCTGCCACCAGAGGGAGGCACAGGGCAGGGATGTGGTGACGGCCCTGGAGAGCAGTCCTCTCTGTCCCTTCCTCACGGTGCTCTGTGCTGCAGCCTCTCAGGTGCACGAGCAGCGGCACTGGCTTCCTGTCTATGGCAGCAGACGCCACCTCTGCTGTCCCTGAGCCGGCTTCGCTCTCTGAGAGGTGCCTGCAGCCTGTGGCCAGGTGAAGCTGATGGTCCCTGTGGCCTTGGGTGCCCTGTGTTCCTGGGCACTGACCATCTCGGGTATACAGATTTGTCTTCAGAGAGGGTGAGGGAGGTGGAGGGCATCCCCTCAGGGAGAGTGTAGGCAGACCCTCAGGTGAGATTTGGAGCCAGGAGAGTAGAGGATGGAGTGTTAGCTGGCATCTTGTACCTCTCTACACCCCGGAAAGGAACAGGAAGAGGTGGCGCCCCAAACACAGCCTGGGCTTCAGGGCAGGAAGCCTTTGCCCTGTGGAAGGTGGCATGACCGTGGCATGTTAGCCTCCGGGTGTGGCCCATGGGTTATTGTCTGTGACAGCACTTACAGATAGGCCGTGAGATGTCTCTGAGAAGTTACCCGAGGAAAGCTCTGTTTTAACCCCAGGGAGCACCTCTGCCTCCACGCCTTGGCAGTGACTG